GAAGTATTTGTGCGAAACAGACAAATAAAAGAAAAAATAAATATCAAAAAGAAAATATTAAATCCATTAATAAATTTAAGAAAACAGCAAAACTTATTAAGCGACATAAAAATACTACTGTAAACATTCACCTTTCAAATGTAAAACGACCTAAAAGGAAAACTTATATTTTTCCAGGTTCGTCACAATCAGACATACAACAGCCGAAATAAAGGATATCACCCACAACCTAGGCATTCTACCTATAAAATTAGGAACCGCAAAACTCCAAAAATCTAGTCCTACATTTGTACATTTTTATAATTTAAAACCACTTGTAACTGAATATGACAACCTGAACAAGTTGAGTATCTTAAAAATAACATTTCTAACAGCGAATTCTTTAGATCAGAGATGTACAACTACGTTAATATTATTCAATATATCAAAAATAGCATACTATGGTTTGAAAAAAAAATATATAACACAAATTAAGAAAAAAACAAAAGAATTAAGAAAATAGATATAGAACAAAAAACAAAAAAAAAATAAATACAAAAAAAAAACAACAAAACAAAAAAAGAAAACAAAACAAAAAAAAAGAATAAAAAAAGAAACGAAAAAAAATATATCAAAATATAATTTATGTATAAATATTAGGTATATGTAGTACTAACATTGATAACTTATAACAAGAAAATTTTGACTATGAATCTACAATCACTAATAATTAAAATGAAGTCGATTTTAACAATAAAAACAAACAAGTCTGGCTAATTGGCTCTGCCAAAGCCATATTACAAAAAAAAGCATACAAGAAAAGTTCTAGTAGTCTAAATATTCATATGAATTTAAAAAGAAGGAAAAGAGGCTTGATTAATGGCTTTGGTTCAATAGTAAAAGCAATCACAGGAAATTTAGACGCCGAAGATGACGATAAGATAAATTTAATACCAGAACATGTGAAAACGTAATCAGCTAAAATTAGAACATCAGATACTTAATCAATATTCCCTCATCACAGTTTTTTAACAAATCATAGATAACTTCAATAAAACCATTCAAGATATTCAAACAATTGAAATATTCCTTATTTCATTTGTTCATGTTCATTACACTTTAACAAACCGAATTTATTATTACTAAAATACATTTTGTTCAGGGTGCTAGATGCTGCAAGCATAAAGGACACCTATTATCTCTAATTGTTGATTAACTCTTTTTCTCCTTTAACCATCCCCTTCTTCTTCAGTCATTTCCTCTACTTTTATTCTCATCAAGTCTCTGAGGAGCTCAGCCTCTTCAATTTTAAATTAATCACATAGGTTATAACTCTGATTTCTTCAGCCTGTAGATTTTCAATTTACCAAACTTGTTTTTATTAATTTTTCACCATACTAACAGTCTTAAATAGTCATCTAAATACAAGGTCTTATATTAGCTTCAAATATTTGCTATTAAAATTTTTACCTGTCCTAGATGTGATAAACATAAAAGGATAATTTTCATATATATAAGCTAATCTAACATAAAATACACTTTTAGACCATATTCCATACGACAAAAAGCAACATAGGTTGCCTAATACACAGGTCATCCTCTTAAACATGACTTTAACACCATTGGTGATTTCACATCGATTATAACCCAAATTTTAAATCCCAACACCTATATTGCTGTTATTATTTTTTTAAAATCATCAAAAATAATTTTTGAATCTTTTGGCTGTAGTAATACTAGGTATAACTAATATAGTTCTATGTTACATTGACATTTTGTTTTTGACACCTTTCATAGGTATATTGTAAATCAGTTTCCAGCTGTTCTCCGTGCGTAGAGGTTTTCTCCCCGGCTCTGGAACTCAATTTTTGCAATGTATGTTACCTGAAGTCATATTTAATTTATTACTGAACATCACAGTTTTTTAACAACAAGATGTATAATCTTTTATAACTATATGTAATTTAAAGGGTTTTTACCCATGTATTTTTGGTGGCTCAGGCATTTTAACCTAGTAAGTATAGCCATTTTTGCTTTTTAACCATAGTCAAAATTTCATAACCACGTTTGTTTTAACTAAATGGTTTATACTTATTTTAGGCGATTTTAAACCTGATGATGGACTGTTTAGTCCGAAAACGTTTGTTTTTTTGATGTAGCCCTTTTAAGGGTTTTTAAATAAATATACCCACTTACGAAGACTAACCTCTTTTTTTGTTTATATTTTGACAACGATTTCCGAAGTGGAAATTGAAACGTCAATAAACGTATTTTTACCGTTAATTGTGGCTTATTCCCAGTTAAATAGTAATTAATATAATTCTATACTTGATGTAATGGAGACTGTAGAAAATTCTATTACTTTTTGGAAGCTGAAAACCTTACACCCTAGTATTATCAAATCTAGTGCCTTATTTCGAGAGTTACAAAGAATCTCTTTATTTTACAAAACACAATTATTACCATTTGAATTAAAACACGAAAATATTTTAGATTTTGAATCCATTCTGAAAATTACCTGTAAAATAGTGGAAAACCAAATTCAATATTTTCTGATAATTCCCATCGATTTTGAGAACATCTTTGATCTCTACTATTTATTACCTATACCCACACAAATTGAGTCAGAATTTGCAATAATAATACCTAATACAAGATATTTGTTAAAAAATAAAAATACAATAATACCTCTCAACGACATCTGCACCCACAGTAAAATTTTCCAATGTCCAAGCCGTCTACAAAATAACCAAGAACACCTATGCGAAAAGGAAATAATCTTACAAGAAAACTCCAGTAATTGTCAATATATTAAGGCAGACATCCAAGGCAATCACATCGAAATAATACCAGAAATGAACCAGTTTTTGGCAATATTTCCTATGGAGGAAAAATAAACTTTCAAATGCTCTGAAGGAATTCAAATTAAAACACTGACAGGCATCTTTCTGATCGAAAATACACAGTGTACAATCCTTTTCAGAAACCAAGAATTGTTGTTCCAAGATCGAACCCTTGGACAACCAATTTTAATCACCGAGCCAAAATTAAAGTTCAAAGAGTTAAGCGTTTCACCTATGAAAATAACTTTGAAGAATTTAAAATTTGAAAAAAAATCCCACAAACAGAATCACACCCATCATGCAACAAAGAGAAAATTACCACATTCCCAGCATTTGGACGATCATATTATATCTTGCCATCGTTGTAATAATCATCTACATTATCTATAAGAAAATAACGATAAGAACAAGAAAAGAAACCAAAAGAAAGGAAGACATAAAAATGTCAAACATACAGGACATAGACGATTCCAGTTCGAAAATTCACCTCCCACAAGGAGCTTCAATCTAGGGGAAAAGGAGTTATAGAGCGACGCCTATGGGTTTATTCAGGCCATATACTTAGCCTGAAGTGGTTAGGTTAGGTGGTCAGGAGTGCTGACATGGTCAAAGACATTGAAATTAGGAGTGCTGACGCTATGTTTCATAATATTGTAAATTGTATAATTTGCAACTGTTATGTTTGATTTTAACTAATATTTTGAATCTGATTTTATTGTAATTAGTCGTTTTAGCTCTAATAAATTCTTTTTTTAAAAAAGGACTTTTGGCATTTAGTCTTTTTTGTTCTATATATGTTAGTATGTTCTATTGATGTTCTTTGCTTTATTTCGTCATTACTTATCCTATCCATTCTTGTTACTCTGCAGCATCTTCGCAGGCATTCCATCTCTGTTGCTACTATCTTACTGCTGTTTTTCTTGTTTATAATCCAATTTTCAGCCCCATATGTCATAATACTTCGCACTAATGTTTTATAAATCTGTGTTTTTGTCTTCATATTTAGGTGTCTATCCCACCATACTGAGTTAAGTTGTCGGATTGCTGTTCTTGTTTGTCCTAATCTTTGTGTAATTTCTTCCTCTGTTGTTGCCTTTTTCGTGATTATAAACCCCAAGTATTTGAATTTATCCTTTCCTTTGATTGTTACGTTGTCATCAATCTGTAGATCTTCTATGTCTTCTTCACTTGTAGATAGGTACTCTGTTTTCACGATGTTAATATCTAGGCCAGCCTTGGTATATTCTTCTTGTAGTTTCTTATTTACATCATAACCAATACAACGATTTAAGAATACTTTAATAATTAAAAGTCTAGAGCACGCAATATATAACATATGCGTGTCTCGTATAAAAACACATTCGTTGTAGTAGGCGCAACCTTTTAAGCTAAGCATAATTAAAAGTCTAGTGCACGCAATGTATAACATATGAGTGTCTCGTATAAAAACACATTCGTTGTAGTAGGCGCAACCTTATAAGCTAAGAATAATAATGTCAACAACAATTGTCCCAGTAACGAGGCAATTCGTTACAGGTTGATATGATATAAAAGTAGGAATTGAGGTCAATAATATTACTAGATTATTAGATTTTACATTAGTAGTCAATCGTTAATTGTAATTAAACAGATGTAATCAAAGTTAGTCTTAAAAAATCACACCAGACGAGCATGTCATCGTCAACTAAGTCATTGTTAATCAATAGCCGTGAATCTGTAAATAGTGAGATGTAAGAGAACTTCCGTACCATGAAGACGAGCACCCGTAGAAATGTCACAACCGGCTTATAGGACAAAAATATCTACCTTATTTTATGGTGTTCCACGAACAGTTGTCACTTTATCATTTGGCGACCCTACTTTATCACACCTGGATTAAGGTATCAGTCGTCTGTTGCTACTTTTAAGACAACATACATGGTTGTAACCATTTTCGAGTGAAGGGTTAAAAATAGTCTCCTTTATTTAAGTCTTCATTCATCAACATTATGTCACTTTTTAATTCTATTTAAGTTTTAATATGTAATACAAATACCATTAGAGCCTCATTAGCTTTTAGAAGAATTTTAAGTCTACGTGTCTGGTTTGGTTGTTCGTTATTTATTTATTTTTTTGATGTTTTTTTTTATATATTTACTAAGAATTTTATTGCATAATAATATTTAAGTTACTTTTTAGGCCGTAGAATACAAGTGTCTGCTCCAGGAAAAGTAATTTTAAATGGAGAACACTCAGTCGTTTATGGGAAATTGGCGTTGGCAGCAAGTATAGATCTTAGAACCAAAGTTGAAATAAACGAAATAGATCTTCGCAATAAATTAGTTGTCCAGTTTGATGCATTAAGGTTATCCTTTCAATATGACATACAGGTATGCATGCGATTTTATAAGTTTTCGATTTGGAAAAGTTTACAAAAATTAGTCCAATCAACAGAAACTGAAGCAAAACCTAATCTAACTACTTGAATGTACATGTTATTAACGTTTCTCCAGAACATTATGCAGAAGACTACAAGTAGACTATACATAATGTTGAAAATTTACGAGAGTCGAGAACTCTTGGCCAAAAGTGTTTTTTGTGGAGTCCAGTGTGTACAGTCTTTTTTGTATTTTTTCCAAGAATTATTTAACATAGAAATAGCTTAAAGGAAAATTCTGTATTTTTCTACCAAAATAAGATCTCTCCTTAGTAGTGATAATTAAAAAAAACTTGACCATAGCTCTGAAGATGGCTTTGTGAGCTGAAAGCGCTTAGCTAGGAAATAAATGATTACACACTTCAAAAATACGTTTCTTGTCCATTCTTTGATTTATCATAAGTTTGTACAAAACATATCGGTTTTTTCATTTCTTATAGTATTATAATAATTGCCAGTCGCCATTAACGCAATCCAACAGGTTGAAACTGAAAACCGCGCAGAAAAGGAACCAATCTAAAAATAACTATTATTAACAAATTGAATTAAAAAAAAAAACAAGCCAGTATGGTGAATTTGAGAACAAGTATAGAAAAAAGGTAGCACTTAGTTCGTCCGGGTTTCAGTGAAAAATATGGTTAGAGGTTATTATTTTGTGAAAGATGTTATAAATATTCAAATCATGAATGTGTTGCCTGTGTGAGTCCATTTCAAATAGGTAAAAAGAAATAAAATAAGACTTACTCACAATTGTGTTCTGTTTCTCCCTAAGTGTCCTGAATTGTTTTAATTTTAATAATTTTAACATATCTGACATCACAATTTTCTGCCAAAACAGAAATTCACTTTATCAAAATTTGATAATTACAAGTTAAAGAAATTGCACACCCACAAAATTGTACATCTAACTTCATTCATTGTCATATAACTATCCTTTTAATAAAAATTTCAATAAATTAACACATTTTTAAAATATATCTTTGGAATAAATGTAAATAACTATTAATAATTTAAATAATATAAAACATCACTTTCATTTAACAAACAATCACATAATACCTTATTCCTATTTTTTTTGTTAAAATATCGCCCCTCAAGAAATTCTCCACTAATAATTATCAGTTACAATAAAAATCGAAGATCACCCATCACCAGCAATACAGGATAGTTTGAACTATGTTTTCTGTATCATTAACTAATAATTCTTGTACTGGCATCATTTAATTTACTTGGTACCGTTTGACCTGAAGATGCTTTGCAAAGTGTAGAAAGCGAAACCGGTCGTTTTGGTAGTAAAATAAAAAAATTAAATTGAATGTAAATCTTATTTTATTTCTTTTTACCTAGTTATAAAAATTATATGTAATAAATCTAATAATTTGGCGAAATTACCAAAGTTGTTTATAGGTTAAAGAATATGACACACATAAAATGCGTAACAATTCATCAAATTAGTGAGTTACCTGTACCACTTAATAACAAATTTGTCAGGTAGAAGATGATGAAGCTCATCTCAAATGTAAAAGGTTTAAATAATTTATATGTGATACAAGGTAAATTATGGGTGCCAATCACAAACAAGTGACAGCTGTGATGAGAAAGCCAACCTGGCAAAGAAGGATAAGGTGATCTCATCAATTGTTTAAAGACGCTAACAGTTATGAAAGATGGAACGGAAAGAAGTACTACCAAGTCCATCAAATTCTTAAACAGCAGGTATAACAGTTATTTATTATGTAATAAAAGAGAGTGATAGATTTCAATGAGATGGTAAATATAATTACGCCTTTTCATAGTAGCAGGTTGTTAAGAATGTGACACATCTCAGGAAAAGTTCTTTTAAAAAAATTATTTGGTGGCTGAAATTACTGTATTTCTCAAATCAGCCTGGTGGTTTGTTGACAAAACGTGTGTGCATAAAGCAAACGTGTGTTTAGAGCAATTATATCGCTTCGATGTGAAATAAGGCGTCCTTTTAAGGAACGATCAGTTTGCTCAAATAAGGCAATTCACAGTTCCGACAAGGGATCCTAGGGACTACATGCGTTTTTTCTTTAGATAAGAGAGTCTTACTGTTGGAGAATAATTTTCCTATCGCCCTAACATTCTTTATCCCAATCCTGACAGGTACAATCCGGAGAAACCTAGAAATGCTGTAAGTAAATTGTGGAAAAGCAATAAATGTTAAGGGTCGTGGGAGAATTCTGAGGGATAACTCCTGGTGGACTATTTGAATTTAATAAAAAAGCCTCTAACTTCGCCTCCGGTAAGTGCTTGGTGGATTGAATAGCTCAGTAAATGCCGGTGCCGGTCTCAAGCCCGGATAAAGAAGGAGGGTTGAGGCGATGGGCTAGCAACTCATCCCTTGTCGAAACAAATAAATGCTAAAGATTTCGACCAAAAGCCTCAGAATACAAAGGATGGATCAAAACAAAGACGACTAATGCAACGGAAAAGGAAAATGATATTGGCTACATGGAATGTACAAGGACTTAGATCCAAACAAGCAGAAGTATTCAAAGAATTAGCGGAAAGAAAAATAGATATATGTATTCTCACCGAGACCAAGAAAAAGGGAAAAGGAAATGAAGAGATAGGAGAATATATACATATCTACAGTGGAGTGAGTAAAGATAACAGAGCTAAGAGAGGAGTCTCTATTGCCATTCGAAAAAATCTTAAAAACAATATTAAATCGACTGAAGTAAATGAACAACTGCTAATACTGGAAATAAAAAAGAATGGGCACAACATCGTAATTGTCGGAGTGTATGCCCCAAATGAAGATGCAGATCCAGAAAGTAAAGACGATTTTTACAACAAGATTAATGAAATACTCCTGAAATTAAAGAAAACTGTGAAATTTTTATACTAGGAGATTTAATCTGCAGAGTAGGGAGAGAAGAGAGAAGAATTATACCAGCAACTTAAAAAATTCATTCATGAGGCTGCAAGTGCAGCTTTGGGTTATACAGCCAGGCATGAAAAAAAATCAAGAATGGTGGTCGGAGAATATGCAAACGTTAGTCAACAAGAAGAAAACTGCTTATCAGAAATGGATCTCAACGAAAAAGGAGGAAGATTACAAGATATATCAAAAATTAAATAGAGATGTAAAAAGAGAAGTAGTGAAAAGTAAAAATGAGATGTGGGATCGAAGATGTGCAGAGGTGGATAGGTATATGGGTGGAACAAGAGTTGGGCAAGCTTGGAAGGTGATAAAGTCTCTCCGGAGGGAAGGAAAGGAAAAATCTAACTTACAGTTAATAGATCTGAAACAGTGGAAACACCATTATGAGGTCTTACTGACAGAGGATAGATGTAAATTCCAAGAGATCGAAATGGAAGAAATATCCGAACACACACAAATAATTGAGATAACAACCGGAGAGTTAAACGATGCCCTCAAAAGATCGAAAAACGGTAAAGCAGCAGGACTTGGAGACATCCCAATTGATTGGTAAAGTTGGTAAATGCTTAAAAGGACAAAATATTCTTCTTCTTAGGTGCCTGTCCGTTCCAAACGTTGGCGATCACTCTGGCTATAATGATTTTATTGGTTGCTATACGAAATAGCTGTGTTGAGGTCTTTCTCTACCAAGCTCTCAGGTTAGCAAGCAGGATATTCTTCTTAAAATTAAAATATTCCTGACGATTGGAATATTGGATACGTCAGCTCAATATTCAAGAAAGGGGATAAACGCAAATGCTCTAATTATAGGGGAATAACTGTTATCAGCTCAGTGAGGAGGTTGTACTGTCAAATAATAAAAGAAAGAATAGAATCAGAATACGAAGACATAGAAGAACAAAATGGATTTCGTTCTGCAGCAGGTAATCGAAAAACGGAAGGCAAGGAATCTATCTACCCACCTATTGTTTGTAGATTTAGAGAAGGCATACGATACGGTACCTTTGAAAAAACTGTTTCAAACATTGACGAAAGTAGGTCTTAGTAGAGAGTATGTGAATGCTATCGCAAATATATACAAAAATGCAAGAAGTGTCGTTAAAGAAGGAAACTTTATATCTGAATCATTTCCAATAACAAAGGGGCTTAAACAAGGTTGTTGTCCTTGTTTAAGCCCCTTAAACAAGATAGAAGACCACATCCACAACTAGAAAAAAATGTACAGGGTGCTATTAAAGTAATTAAGTTAGGGGTTGTAACTAAGGAATGATTTTTTTCTACGCCATATTAAAGTGTATTACAAGTAGAATAGATCACTTTTTGTCCCATTCGAAAATCTCTATTCGTTTAATAGATATACCTTGGGTAAATTAGTCTGGGACACCCTGTATATATATGAGTAAGAAAAAAGAAGTACTTGTGACTCGTTTGGAAAAAATATAAAACTGTTTTTGATGGGTTGGATTCAATAAAAGGGGCTATTTGTTGACTATTTTTTACTCGAGCTTTCAATTGTGATTACAATTATTTTCAAGAGCTTCTAAAAAATACAAAATATCTTACAAAGTTGAACTAGAAATAAAAAATTTTTTGTTAACTCACCAAATAAAATTAGTTTTTTATATAAAACTGCTGCTTACATATTAATTACAAAAAATATTAATAAAAAAATGTCTTATTCTAATAAATGTTTCTCTGAAAAATTTTGATGAAGTTTCTTAACAAAAACAATTGAATTTGTAAACAAAAATTGAATAGCTACAAACCAGCCTAAATGTCATAAATACTAACTTAAAAATTTTTATTTTTGACATATTGTCAAAAATAAAATTTTGTTTAAAAAATTCTTCTTTGTTTAGTAACAAAAAAGAAGTAGATTTATTCACCATTGATAGATGCCCGAAAAAATGTAACAAATACATGAAAAATTCAAAATGTGATATTTTACTGACTGCATATATAAATTACATAGAAATAATATAATTATAAATTTTGCTTAGATTTTGAATTTCTGACCTTTTGTTTAAATTATTATCACTTTT